GGGGTAGAATCATTTGAACCAAGAGGTCTGCCGCGTTTTTGTCTAGGGGCAGAGGATTGGCTAGCCGTTAATGTACGTGGACCAATCCAAGTGAAGTCGCAGGCCTCTAGGAGGAAAGTCCGTTGTACATTAGGTACATCCATCTTTGGAAGCACATTTGCAGCTGGAATATGTGATCTTGTCACTCGCACTTGATCTATGAAAGCATCTGGCATACTCTAAGCTACAATATGAAGAACTATTATGCGTTGCACTTCAATTTCAAACTAAGCCGTGCGGTGATCTAAATGAGACAAAGTGGGAGTCATCCATGATAATTCGCGTCGTTCTTCAAGAATGGAAACGTTCTTATCTCCCCTTAATGACGGGAAGACTATCTCATAGAAGTGACAATCCCCGAAATGAACGGTAAAAATATTGACTGCCAAAGGTTCTAAGTAACAAATAATTTGAAGGAGAATCATATCAGACATAGATTCCCACCATTCACTAAGGCCGCATTTTTGTACGTAAAGGCGGCGAAATCATTACATAGACCGCACAACAAAAAATGTACAGATGTCGTGTTCGTATCTGGTAACCAACTGAACGGCGCTATATGGTTAGGTCGCAACAGGCATCAGGCGGACCAATATGACTGCGTGCAATATTGCATGGGCCCAAGCAACGATCGAGAGCTTAGTATATATGACCAATGATCGAGCAATCATTTGTAAGCACTTAATGAATGCATTTGCTAGGCCGTTCTGGGTGTGAACATGCGATACATGATGTTCAACTTCAACCCCAACCAACATGCAATAGTCATCAAAAGTTTTAGATATGATTTCTCTAACATTATCCAATCGAATAGATTTGATTGGATAATCAAGGTGGTGAACCTTGAGCTTGTTAACATGAGCCACCAGTATGGAAAAGATAGCATTTTGTGGACAACAAGCACACATGTGACCAACATGTGGAAGCATCAATCAATACCATAAAGTATCTAAATGGTCTACAAGGAGGTTGAATTAGTCCACAAATGTCCCCTTGAATCCTTTGTAGAAAAGGAAAAGGATTTGAGCGAATCTTGTCATAAGAAGGCTTAATAACAAGTTTTCCCATGGAGCAGGTTTGACATGTGATTCCTTGAATTGAACCTAAAGTTTGGGTTAGTGGATACCCATGTGAAGATTTAAGGGTACGACGCATCGTTGTTCGTCCATGGTGTCCCAAACGATCATGCCAAAGTGTAATTTCTTGTGCAATCACTGAGGTAGGGTCGGCCACATAGTGGCTCTCTATAGGGTGTGTGGTTGTAGTATACAGACCACTTGGGATACGCTTCATCTTTTCTAAAATATGCTTCTAGCCATATTCATAGGAAGGGATGCATAAAAATTCAACTGGGTTTTCTACATAGCTTTCAGCATGGTAGTTATTGTCTAATTATTGTCTCAAATATCTTTAACACTCAACAATGTTCTTCCGGAATGTGGAGAATAAAGTGCCTCTTGAATGGTCAAAATAGTGTCATTGGACAACATTATATGAGCCTTTTCGTATACTTCGATCAGGTTGATGGACTTGGGAAGGTTGTCAGGGGTACATTCTTAGGTATGAAGTTAGTGACATAAATGCGTTGACGCAAACCGGTATGCGTGGTTGCATTATCTGGTGGACAACTAACTTTCTCACTAGTCATACCTAGAATAAAATTAATTAAACTAGTCACATGCATAAAAGTTCAAAAACTTAAATCCATTCAATTAATTTTTTTTTTTTTAGAAAAGTTTATGAACTTCAAGTTCATAGTGCCTGCAAACAAACGCATATATATACAAGTAGGCAATTAAACTCAAGGACCAAAAATATGAACCAAAGCCCAAAGGCCACATGTAGGCTGATTAGTTATGGTTGTGTGGCCCAAGCCCAAAAACTGGGTTGGTATAGGTACGGGAAGCAGACCCAAGAACAGAGGCCCAAAATGAGCTCTGATCTGGTGCAGCGAGGAGCAGGCTAGGGCTGCAGGGCCTATACAGAGGTGTGATTTGGTGCTTCAGGTGTACGTTTACCCGAGGGACGCAATCTTGTGCATAACGATACATGAGAACACCACAACCATGCGAGGATGTGATAAGGTGCATCGCAGTGCAAATGCACCGAGTCACTAACTGCGGGCTGGGATCTGGAATGGTGCCATGTAGTAGGACACCATAGCCCAACGGGTTAATGTCATATAGGCCAAGCCAATACAATGGGCCATTGCAGGCAAGCCCAATAAAAGAAAAAAAAAACTTTTTTTTTTCGTTTTACATTGTTGGGCCAAGGTCATGGGTTGGCCCAAGGGCCTTGGGTGTCCATAGAACATCCTAACCGCTATTGGGTTTATTCACCGAAGAATATGATTGGTGCCATTGCTTCAGGCGATCATGTTTTGGGACAAAAACCTTGGGGGCGAGTTTGTGAATCAATGGGGACCATGAATATAAACAGAGATAAGGAAATCTCCACATTTCAACCAAAACCATAGAGTATTTAAATCGGAATTTCAAAAAATCCAATGAGATTCGAAAGAATCTTGGTCAAAAATTTGTCGAGGGATGATGACCCATGGGCAAGGTTTAACTGCATGCCAACCTGCAACGGTGGAGACACCATGGAAGGCGTTAGGGTTCTGGGTTTTAAACTTGGCGCCCTTGGCTCTGGCTTGTGGTTTCGCGGCATGGCGCAGCCACGTAGGCTGCAGTCCTAGTGTTAGTGGCTCGACGCGGTGCGGTTGGAAAGCAACGGCTCGCAGTATGGTAGCGACATGATGGGTTTCTTGGAATAATTTTTATTTTTTTTTTCAATTTCCAGATTATAGATTAATATAATTTCATGAATATTCAACATATAATTCAATGCTTGTACATGTATTTGATACAATGCATGGCAATATCAATTCACATAATTCAATAATTATGGATATAATGCATACACAATTTATGTAGAATCTAAAATTCGAAAAATGTAAAGTTGGGTCATGCATTATGGTGAATGTTTACACTATCAGAGCTGCAAAAATATCGACATAAAAACCATTATTTTTGAAGAACCTGATTGCGTGATGATATTGATGAATTCGTTTGATGCAGAAAACTTCCACGTCAGATTCCTAAACACAGTTGTAGGATGATGTGTTATTCCCTCTATGCAGTGTCTTTATTTATAGTAATAAGGGAAGGAAGAATCCTTCTTCTCTAAGGAATACAAGTCCTGATAGGGAAGAATAACTAGTATCAAATCTAATTTAGGGTTTATACAGTCACACTTTAATACAATGTTTATAACAATTTAGCCTTTTCTAGATGGAATTCCAAACAAACCCTTAAAGTTATAATTTTTTTTTTTTTTTATCAAAGGTAACATACATTACCAACAACAAACTTTACAACACAGAGGACCAAATTTTACAACAAAAAGGACCAAACACAAAATACACAAACAAACAACAGTGGTCCGACCAAAAGTTAAGACCGAAACAAATGAAAACTCAAAACAGCCGGTTCCGCTGCATCCTCCGCCATAACCACCATTGCAATCACCAAAACAGCAGCCATGCATGTCTATCCACACAAATTCTTGCCCCTAATTAAGCCTCGCCTCATCGATACCAGCATCCAATCCCAAGCTTTACTCCTAGTACAGCTACATACAACTTCATTGGCCACTTCATCAACCTAATTGTTTACATCATTGTGAATCTAATTTTTGTTGTTTTCTTATGTAGTACATAATTGATCCCTTTTTTGCTAAAATATATGCTAGTTTGATGACACGTCAACTACTATATGCCATATGGACGAAAAATAAGAATTTTACTTGAGAACACCTTAACCTTTGGGGTGTCGTTACAATGTCCTATGTTAGCTGATGCCTCGGAATTATAACAATGTGATTTATCATTTATTTAGCAGTTAGATAAATTTACATATAAAACTTTACATTATATATATAGCGAGGGCATACTTTATAATCACAACTCCTTTGCCCGGGGGTCGGAGTGGAGGCTCACCAAGCCATCGAGTCTCTAGTCTGTTTGCGCAATAGAGTCACTGAGGAGACAAAGAAGTTGGTTTTTTATTTTTTAAATGAGTGTATAGATAAGGTTTGTGAAGATAGTTTAGGTAGTAAATTTAGATTTAAAGAGATATTGATAGTTTAATTAAAAATATATAGGTGAAAGTTGGGTGTGGAAAGAAGCTTTTATGGGTACAAATAAAATTTTTCTTATTTGTATGCACTATTTTATGCTTTACATGGCATACACTAATATGGTGACTTAATTCATATAATATAACTGGAGTTTAATTAGAGTCCCAATAGTGATAACTGCTCACGTGTTATAATTTGTGTAAATAATGTGAGTATCATTTTAAATTGTTAAATTGTATAAGTGACAACAAGTAAGAAATCTGACAAACAAGAAGGTTTTCAAAAAATGAATAGAGTTAGACAATCTTGTCATTTTCTCTTTATAAATTGTTGAATAATATTGAGATACTTATTAATGAATACTTTATATACTTATTTTTTAAATTTGGCCCGATGATATACTAACACATAATGTTTTATTGTTGTAAAATGATATTGCATATGTTATTTAATTTTTCTTCAACTTTGAAAATAAGAAACACATGTCATCTTTTAATTTTTCAACACTAAATTGTTGTCATATCTGTTAAACTTTCACAAAGGAGATCATACAGAGTTTCAGTTTGGCCTAAATGAAAAGAAAAGCTAATTAGTTAGCATAATACAACGCACCTATCATCAGATTTGGACATGAATAATCAATCAATTAATTAACCAGGCTGGTTAAGGCCAACTCATGCACACAAACAAATTTCCTTATTTAAATAAAAATCGACTTAATAAGCTCTGTATTATTACAAAGCATCACACATGAAAAATCCGTGTGAGTAATATGCTCACAAAGGCCTCAGACAAAAAAAATGCCAAACTATGTCTAAGTTGTTCCGTTTCCGACATCTCACACACTTTTTCCGAGTCTCTCTCTTCACTCCATGCATTTCGCTCTCTCTCTCTCTCTCATTCTAAAAACTCAATTACAAGCCTCTTCCTTTTTTTCTCTCTTTGCACTCCTCGATCATCGTCCAGATAAAGAGAGAAAGTTTTGTTAGGTTATTTTGATCGAGCAGGGTGGAGACGGCCTAGTACTTAATGCCATGGGATCCATCAACGGTGGACGTGTGATAACAACTTCATCATCATCTATCGTAGAAAGGTCCCATGACCATGATCGTTTGCGAGAAGGCGTGTCGATGGTTTTGTCACAATGGAATGGCCTAGAAATGGCCGTCCAGAACCAATGGGGTGGCTGGGACTCCACCCACAAAGCTCAACAACTCTCTGCCGATATTCTCTCTTGGTTCTCTCAATCTAAAGGTTCTTTCTTTTTATTCATTTTATCCGATGCATCACTTACGTATAACTTAAATCTTTATGGTTATTATCGCTGTAGAGTTAGATTGTCTGAGAAGAGAATATTTCCACAATATACGTGTTAATGTGCAGCGCCACGGTACGTGGAAGATTTAGAAAATTTGCTCCACGAACGTATGCTTCTCTCTTTCAACACAGATATTGAGGATGGAAGCATCGAGGAGGTATATATGAATCATTTATATGTACTACAATACTACTATCTCATATGATTTGTAAATAATTACACTACTTAATTAGAATAGATAGGCTTTGATTAATGTTGAGATAGCATTACATAAGTAATAGATATTCCTGTATATGATCATGATCATCCGTAGGGATGTGATTTCCTTTTAATATTTCCATTTATATCTAACTAGACTCAAATCTTATCGGATAATATTAGGTACTCACTAATAAGTACCTTATATACTCACTTTTATTGTGACTCGATCAAAAGATGTCACGAGTTTCTTGTTTTTTAAAGTCCAAGAAAATTGGGTGCATTTTTGCTCACCACCCTTATTTTATTTATCATTGTTGTATGAATATAAATTTTGAGATTTATGTTTATCTAGTACACATATTTTAAAATTTAAACTTATCTAACATAATAAATAGGGTGGTGAGTCACCATCACTTGAGAGTGGTGAGCAGAAATATTCATAAGAAAAATTAAATACCATGTCTATTATTTTTAAAACAGTAAAACATAAGTTAAACTTTCGTTGGGCTAAAATCAAAAGTAAGATATATAGAGCATTCACTAATAAATACTTAAGTATTATTATTATTTTAATTATCATTTTTTGGAATTAATTTGGTCTAGCAGGTGGCAGAACAATTGATGATTGTACATGACGAATACTTGCATGGAAACCATTAGGCCATCTCCAATGGAAATGTCAAATTATAACAATCAATTACAATTGATAGCTGATGTGGCAATCTGAAGTCTTATATCAAATTTTTTGTTTCTCCAATTAAATTGTGAAATATTATTTTCTTATAAATGTAGAGCTTTAAATTATATGAAAACTAATGAAAATAGCTTGAAAACTTTGAGTTTTAACGAAAATGAAAAAATAAAGGGTAAAGTGAATAGTACCATAATTGACTTTTTAGTGTAAAAATGTGATTTTTCGTTAAAGTGAACAGGACCAAAAGATTTTTGTTAAAGTTCTCTTAAATTATTGTATTTATTTAAAAAAAAATTATTGAAACAAATTTTTATATGCTTAAATACTAGTGGAATAAGCAACCCACCATTAAAATTAATATAAAAAAAATTTGGCGTTAGAGTTAAATTTGACTCCTAATCACAAAAGCATTAAAATTCAGTTAACAAACTGCACACAAATAATTAATTATTAGCCATAATTAGCCTGCAAATAATCTATCCTCGTTATCATATGCTAGCAGCCTAGCACCACCCAAGATATAAAATATCGATGATATCGGAAATATCAGTAGTCCAAAAACACGGAAATTTCGATGGAAATATCGGCATATTATCGATATCGATAAAAATTGAATAAAAACCACGGAAATTGTAAGAAAAACTTGGAAATTTTTATTGAAACTTTGCAGGATGTTTATTTAGTCAATTATCTATTAGTTTATCACAAAAAATTGGAAGGAAATGCATTGCATGATAGATATAACTGATTTAAGTTGATTATATAGCGAGCTGGTAAACATTGTGAGTGTAGAAAATATGCAGTAATTAATGAAAGAAGTTAAACACACCATAATCATTTATATATAATGAATTAGTACAATATTTTACACTTTATACATTGCATGGTAAGATACATGAGTGACTTAGCAAGGTCTAAAATATCAATGATATCGGAAATATCGGTAGTCCAAAAACACGGAAATTTCGATGAAAATATCGGGATATTATAGATATTTTAGACCATGGCACCACCTCATGAGATCTCATGGTTAATTTAATCCTCACAGGAATTTGTATTAAAAAAGATCTCACAAGGAAGAAGGATCAATTTTTCAAGAAAAAATTGCACAAATGGCATCCCATAACTTTCCTCTTTACAGTTAACTACCCAAGCTTCATTTTCATTTCCCTTATTTGGAATGCCTTGGGTTACCAAATTCTTTAACCTCATCTCTCTTTCCAATTTACTTGTTTTTTTATTTTTTTTGGTGAACATTTGTGAGGGGGATGCAACACGAGAACTTTCTAGAATGTCACACATTCTAGTACTACTCTCGTCCAAAATCGTTTAACTTCGGAGTTCTGATAAGATCCAATGTATGTGAGTTGATATGATCGCATTCCCAATTTACTTGTTTATTCCCAGCTACTCAACGACAAGATGCACTAGATTTGGCCCAAAGTTTTGAATAACTAGGTGTGCAAATACCATCCAAACTAAAATTGTTTTTATTAGACGGCCCCAGTTTTTTCGTTAAAATTTAGTCAAAACATACCATATGCAACATTGAACCTTTTTCCTTGGGTATTTTTGCTACTTAAATGACCCCTAGATGATGACTTGGGTATACATTCAGTTGATTAATACTCGTAGGACATATCTTCGACTTTTAAAAAATTTTGATTTACATTAATCTTTAATGTATAAACCAACCAAAAGAATGAAAAAGGTAATTTCCCAAATACCGTTTTCCGGCGTTTTCAAACACGGGATCCAATCACCATCTCCTGCGAATGAGGACGATTGTTTAATTCTGCGAACCAGAAAGGACGATAGTATTCGCCGTGAGGAGGGCATTCAACTTCTGTGAGGTTATGAAGTTCCATGTAAACACTGTGCTAGTATATTGATAAATTAACAGCTGCATTTATTTACTTGAGGACATAGTAAAAGGGTGATTCTGCATCCACATATTACTTCAAATCCTTACTTTTTTCATCATTTTTATTTTACTGACCGGGGGTACAAAGTTTACGGATAACATATAGTGGAACCAATGGGCAAACATATCACACAATGCCGTAGCCATGCAACTCTTAGAAGAAGGTGACAAACAACAACCCAGTTTTCAATCTCCGACCGAGACATCACCGTTGTCCCACAATCAGGGAATACCTCAGCCAGGAAATCCGACATTATGCCAAATCCATACTAGCTGAGGCTCAGCCGATGATCATCAGGAAAATGAGAGACCTCGTCACAAAAGAAACATCAGAGAAGAACTAAGAAAAGCAGAGAGATGTTCATTTTATAACCATCGAGTAATTGCCTGGCTCTTGGTAATGGAATAAAGGCAGTACCTTCCATCAAAATTTCCAAAATTAGTTTTCACAAGCAGTTGAAATTGAATAAAAGAATCTCCAGAACTAAGGTCGACTAGCTAAACCCCGCTTAAGAGAACTACAGAACAATTCCGGCTAAACAACGGACATGGTTGAATTTTTAAGTTGAAAGAGTGAGTATAGACAACATGGGACATGAATTATGTTTCGATCTCTAGCTAAACGAATAATCTCTTCACAGGAAACACAAAAGGAGATTTGATTTTAAGTTTGCAACACTGTCTAGTTCGGTTACACAGCATTCATATAATACTAGGGGAAAGCAAATAGCCAAGTAAGAACAACTAAAGGAGAAGAAAAAAAGGACGAGCACAATGAACTACAAAAGCACACATATCTCATGACCATAATTTAGAATCAAAAATTCAATCGTACAACCAACATGAACAGCAGAAAAAAGGGAAGTGAGTTCCGTACTCCCCTTTTCGCACCTGCGCTCCTCTTGCATTAAATCAAACGAGAATCAAGGAACAGAAACAAGGAGAGCAGTGTCAAACGGAGAAAGCGGGAGTGTGAAAATCACAACGGCGTAAAACCACATGCCAAAAAAATACCAATAAGAACACCATTGCATCATCGTCGCCAAAACCAACATTTCTTTCATTCAACAAGCAGCATATAACAACTAGTTCCACCAACAACAGCCTCAAAAGGGTTGCAAGCTAAATCCAATTTAATTGGAACAACTAAAATTATAGCCCAAGGAAGTAAAAAGGTTACAAAAAAAAAAAACAGAGATATTTACTGTACAAGCACAAGGCGGTTACCCATACCTCCTCGGAAACCCCCGCCCCCATTCCCGTCTCCACCGCCGCCATCACCACCGTCCGAATTCCCCAACCCCTCGGCCTTCGGCACCGTCACGATAAGCTCCCCGCCAACAAAAACCGCGCTGGCCAGCTCGGGCCGAGTCGATTCCGGCAGCCTAAACCTCCACATATCGAGTTCCAGCTCGTCCAACGTTAATTCCACCGACCCACTTTCCCGAACGACGATTTTGGTCACCCCGGGATGGATTTCGACGGTATGGGCCCTGACGTCGTCGCTGATATTATCGGCTTCGGCGACAAATCGGAAGCAATCGGGGTTCTCCTGGACCAGAACGTCGGCGTCGGATCGAAAGGGGAGCTCCAGGACCCGGCTGAAGACATGGGGGAGACGGCGGAGCTTCTTGTGGTTCGGCCCCAAAAGTGCCTGCGCTTCAGAAAGTGAGTTTCTTGAGCTGTATTGGACGGTGATGTTGCGCTTCCTAGGCATGGGGTGGACCTTCATGGTTTGGGCTGTTTCAGTGGCAGCTACGGCGGCGGCGGAGGCAGTGGTGGTGGTTGTGCAGAAGAAATAGAGGGATTGGCACAAGATTAATAGAAAGATGAAAGATGCCCTTCTTCTGGAAAAGGCAGTCCAACCTTGGGTGGGAATCAGAATCCTGATTGGGTGGTTGTTTTTACCAAAAGGACGAATCATAAAGGATTGGTGGGAAATTTGATTTGGGAATTTCTTGGGTTTTGCTTGGTGAGAAATACCCTAACCCTAGAAATTGGATAGAATTGAAATTGAATTGGATTGGATTGAATTGGATTTTCCCAATTTCTCTCTGATAATGAGAAAATGGGGGTTGAAATTGCAAAAGGGTGTTATGGAAATCTCCCTTTCTGGGGAAGCAAAGTGGCTTCAGAGCCCATTGGAGGGGGTGCGAATCACAGCAAAATATATAAAAGCCATGATGGTTTCGGTTTCATCCTTGGAGTTTTACTATAATCCCAATTTTGGTCCTTTTTTTTTCAATTATTTTGGACCATTCAAACTATTTATAGCTTTTTTGGTGTGATATGACCAAAGTAAAAAAAAAAAGAAAAAAAAACTATTCTTTCTGTAATTATATAATAATACAGATGCATAGGGTGTAATTTCTTAGTAATTGCAAGTCACCCTCTAAGCTCTTGACTCATGACCCAATTTGTGAAATCCTTTTGTTTGCATGTTTTCGTTTTATTATGTCACAACTTCGTAAACATGTTTGTTTGTTTGTTTGTTTTTTTCATAACTAACTTTGTGAACATGTTTTGGGATTTCTTATGATTTATTTTTAGTGAAGAACGAGTGATTTATGTGTACCAACATATCTTTGTGAGAAGAACAACAACTGGAAATGACTGATTGCTGTTATTTTCTAGATTGAGGAGCAAAAGGAGGAATCTGTTCAAGGAGGGAAAGTAACAAACATGCAACCATTATAATGTGATTATGACATTCCGTGTTAATGCTCTAACTATCAGTCATTTATCTCCTTCCTTTTAAGTAAAAGAATCAAGAATGTTAACCACATGAGTTATATATTCTTTGCTACTACTTTTTTATTTATTAATATAACGATGGTGACATAATTTAAAAATAAAAATAAAAAATCATGATATTCAATATAATAATCTCCCATCATAATATTCAACCTAATATTTAACACAATTTCCACCATAATTTAACAATGTCATGACACAATTTTTAAAAAAAGCACAAAGCTAGTAAAAACACAGATGATTTCCTAGTTAAAAGCTTTGAAATGACTTGTGTCATTTGACTATGATTAGGTACCGCTGACAATTAGTCTTATCCTTCAAGACACGGAATACCTCACTCACGTTTCAAGTTTCGACAAAAAGAAAAAACAACAATCTCCCATCTTTATCTTTTTTTGTTCAAGCTCGTAGATAAGATCTCTAATTCCTCACTCCAAATCCTAAACCTAGGATCTATTATAATTTATAACAACAACAATACAATATATAATTGAGAAAACAAAATTGACAAAAAACAAGTGATTCCATATATCATGCAATCTTCTTATTTATAAGACAAGGAAGAAAGGGACATTCCCTCTCCAATATTCGTTGGCAACTTCTTAGAAGTTACCTTCCCTCCTCCACCCTTGTCTAATATGGCTTTATACAAATTTAAAATCGAACAACTTTGCATGAGCTCTTTTATCAAAGAAAATAGAAAATACAAGACATTTTAGATATGTGCATATTCTATGTAATTATATAAGGGTGAATATTTGTTCATCGACTTAAAGCGGTTTTGAGCATCGCCACTGCAATAATTGTCGTTAGATAAATATGGTTTAATTAATCTACTAAACAATTCTCGAAATTTAAACTCAATTAAAAGATGAGGTGGTGAGCAAAACCATTCGCATTGTATAAAGACAGAATGAAGGTTCCTCGACCCTTCGCAGAAGAGGTGGCCGACTAAAACAAAACAATCTTAATTTATCGTCCCTATAAAGTTTTGGACCATATGCAGACGGAGACATGGTGCTCGGTGACAAACAAAACCACCATTGGCTATTGAAACTCTAAACCAGCACGCATAGATTTGTTTTTATCTTTGAAATTACTCCAGAGATTGGAGAGTATTTTTGGGGACATTTGTTGACTATAAAATTCAAGATCTTCTTACCAGCAATCCACTTAAAGATGGTGGATGCACAAAACATTTCTCCTTGACTATGCGTTGTGTGATCTTGTGGCGCTTCTTTCGCTTGTGAATAAAACGTCTTTCCAACCAAATGATAAAACTAACCACGTATTTTAATATCGCTTGTACTAAAAGAAAAAAAACTCGCCGCTTATTATTGTTGTTCAAGTGCATAAGGAGCCCAAATGGAACTTAACTAATGATTCATCGATAATTAAACAGCGGTGAAAAGTAGATCACAGTAAACTTGCCTGATACTGTTGTAAATTCAGACAGATACGCTCTCTTCCTGGAGAAGTTTGACAAACACAAAACAACTGTAAGAGCAATTAAGCTCTCACCTTTCACCCTTCATCTTCTCCGATGCTCAACCACGTTAAACTTACTGTTACATGTGTTGCATTTTTGGTACTTCTTCCTCATGGTGCATACGACGCCTACGGTGAGATCTTCTATGTTTATGAGTATGTACTTTTGGGGGACTGTCAGTGCTAGAGGTACTCGGAAGAAGAATCTCCTCACTTGTTGCATTACCAAACACGCAATCAAAAGGGTCGACCATTGAATCAACATTAGTGTTCATCTACAAAAAGAGATGGCGTCAGAATGGAAGAGTTGCCATGAAAGTATAGAGTAACGTCCTCATCATTATTACGGTATCTACATAGACAACGCGTAAGAGCGAGAATCCTGTCAGGAGGTGCAGAGTACAAATGATCCCCTACAATAGTACTATTCACTGTTGATTTCATCATGTAACTTTTCTCAAGACAAGCCTCCAAAAAAGATCTAAATCTATATCACCTAAGAAGTTAGGTTTGATACCGGTATAGGCACAGGGCATGATACTTTCTTTGGCATGCAAATTTGATCTGGGTAGGATAGGTTTTCTGTACCATTACCATGTAACGGTTCACATGCATTTGGTAGGTATAATGTTCAACTATATGAACAGTAAAGTTTATAATTTACAAACTATTTTACGTAGACATTTCTCAACAGTGACAGGTTTCTGCTATATCTAAATTCCAAAATCTTCTTCTGCACTACTATGGCTACTTATAAAACTGGGGTGGTGCTATCCACACACCCATTTTTACCTCTCACACACCCCTCTCAATTTCTTGCCGTCGGATCAAAAGCATGGAAGAAGATCAATGGACAAAAATTAACAAGGGTGTATAGGAGGTAAAAATGAGTGTGTGAATAGCACTACCCTAAAACTTAACTCATCAGTAATTTAATGCAACCATTTCTAAGAAAAGAAATTACTAGATAAGCATTCTTACAGGAACTTGTTTAGGAGCAAAACGTTTTATGTCAGAGTCATTCTGGGTGTTCCGGGAATCACTGTCAGAAGCACTCTGATGGTCACCATGGGAAGCCTGTTCTGAACCACCTTGAGAATCGCTGTAATCTGTTCTTCGACCATGGGTAATGTTATCACTAAAATAATTCCGATAACGCCACCTCAGTGTTGGCTGATCTGAGTTCGCATCATCAAAAACTTTCTCAGAGTAGAACTGTTTAGAGATAAGCCGCATCATAGAAGGATCATTCTGATACTTTTTCACCATTCTGTTATTTGAATCACAGTTCATAGTTCAATAATTCAAGAATTCCAATTAAAGTTAGTTGAAAAGCAGATATTGGTCATATATTAAAGTGCATTTATTTTTCCTGGATAAATAGATGTACAGTACGTGTCCCATATATATTCAGATAATTACATACAAAATCCAACCATCCAAGTAAACAAGGGCATGCCAGAGATGTGAAGAAAGGGCAGACACTAGTCATATACAGAAGTGAAGTTTTCATGAATGGATAAATGTACTCTGACATCTGACTTCAATTCGATAAGTGTAAGAAAGATAATGAACTTTTTTTTTGTCGGACGAAAGACAATGAACCTAAAATTTTCAAATTAATAACTCCTAATTACAACTCATGAAGAATAGATCCACACCAAGATGGCTAAAGATCTTTGGATATCTGACATCAGCAACCATGGGCAGCTAACTTGTTCTATTCATGCATACCAGAAGAAAATCAGTGTTTCTAGAAAATTGCAGAGTGAATTCATCAAAAATCGTAAAAAGAAGTAAGGTGACATACATAGTTGCTAACTCGGCCTGCAAACGACTTCCATCCTGAGAAAGAATATGGTCAACACATGAGTTTAAAGACCTCGAGAAGCTCCATAGTCCAAATATAGCAGCAGCTCCTGCAGAAGCATAAAACTTGTTCATAGGAGAATTTGATAGGTAGCTATGATTCGTATATATATATATATATATATATAGAGAGAGAGAGAGAGAGAGAGAGAGAGAGAGAGAGAGAGAGAGAGAGAGAGAGAGAGAGAGAGAGAGTTTAACTCACCTCCTGAAAGGTTAAGTCGAACAAACTTATTTAGCTTCTTTGATGCTGGATAAAAACATTGAGATTGTTAAAAGAATGAAACATATATAATAACCATCCAAACTTACAATAAACAAAACTTGAATCGTTATTGGACCCCAAAAGAAGAACCTCTAAATGTAAATGAAATGGAACAAAAAAATTAAGATAACTGTTTATTAAAGAATCCTACAACTTTTCACCAGCTTACTCACTCGAATGATTATAAATGAGTATAAAAGTGATTTGCATACGGTAAATATTCATAAAAGCTCCAGGAAACGTGTAAGATTACAATTCTGTGAATCATATAATATCAATTGCACAGCTGATATCCTTTCCCTTGCACTGTTTCAAAAAGTGCATAATTAAGAAAAGAAGAAAAAAGAACAGGACAGAAAAATGTATTAACTTTAATGCTATGGATTGTTATTTTCCAAGCAGCGAAAGCCAACATATTTGTACAGTGTACGCAGTACATATCCTTTTTCATTTGAACATACGTGCGGCAATCTGTAAACGCCTCATGATAACCACCTTAAAACCATGGAACAATGAAAACTCGAAATACCAGAGAACCAATGTTTCTCTATCCAAAACCAATCCACATTGTTGTAACTGAAAATGACCCAATGCAAACTCTCAATCCAAATAATGCGGCAATCTGTAAACGCGCCTCATGATAACCACCTTAAAACCATGGAACAATGAAAACTCGAAATACCAGAGAACCAATGTTTCTCTATCCAAAACCAATCCACATTGTTGTAACTGAAAATGACCCAATGCAAACTCTCAATCCAAATAATGAGAAACCCACGTTTCTCTATCCGAAACCAATACAAACTCTCGTCACATAAAATCACCAAATCAAAAGTGGGGTTTGCAGCTTTTACTGAATGTGAATCCGAAATGTGTGTTGAATTGGTTAATATCAAAAAAGCCTTGACTGTACCATTATCACTATCATACAATTGAAAATTAAAAAGTGGGGGTTTGCAGCTTTTGCCGAATGTGAATCCAAAATGTGTGTGGAATTGGATAAAGTATCGAAAAAGTCTTGACTGTAACATTATCAATATCATACAATTGAAAATTCCGACCTCCCAATGAATTGAAATATACAGAAACACATAGTTGGAAGATAAAAATTCACAAAAAAAAATTAAAAAATTAAAAGAAAAAGACAAGAAAATTGACAAATTAGATAGAGACAGACCTGTCCAGGCAACAGTAGCAGCAGCAAGACCTCCGAACGTAAACTCCCTGACAGCTTTGGACTTGCACGTAAAAAGAAGCTTAATTTCTTCAGGCGTCAATTTGACCTGCAACACACATTTGGTGCAGCTAGTTAGCAATTGATGTAATTTTGGGTACCATTTCGGTAATCCTGAATTGGGATTAGGGTTTCGAGGATTTTGGCACCTGAAATTTGCGAGATTTGTGAAATGGGAGTGAAAATTTTTACCTGTTTGTACCTGAGATGTTGCTCCAGCTCGAACAAAGCTTCTCCCATTTTGCTGTATTGGGCTTTAAGATCAAGAAGTTTCCTCCTTTATATACGGAAGTGTGATTGGCCCTTTAAAAATATAATTCTACCCCATATATTTTTCTTTTTAAATATAGAAAGTTTAAAGGGTAGTATGAGAATTTTAAAGTGCCAATAACAATTTCTTATATCTCTACTAATTAATAAAACACTCATTCTTAACCAAAACTCTATGAAATTACCAGTTTAACCCTCTAATTGATACATAACATAAATAAGAAATATGGAATAGAAATGTAATTTCACACAATCAAATTTTGTTGTGTTTTTTTGTTTTTCAAAACATCACCTAATCCTAACCTATCTCTAATTTTAAAATAAAAAACCTTCCGATCCCCACATTCTCTATCATTCTCTTCCTCTCTCATTCTATTTCAAAAACAAAAATAAAAAAATTTCTCGCACACTTTATGTGTGAGCATATGCTAGTATATATATATATATACAGGCATCGGATTTATAAAGACACACATGAATAGAGATGACCTGGTAGTGACCTGGTAGTCGTATGATTAATTTTTTTTCACAATTTGCAGTAATGGGGTCTGTAGTTTATTTAGATTTCACTTTTGTTCAATATAGTTTTTGTTTTACATTTTAACTACTTACATATAAAATGGGATTCTCTTGCAACACTATGATCACACCATTTTTTTACATTTACCAATAACTAAATAAATTGAAAAACCATCACTCCCCGCTTCATTTTTTTTACATGTTATCCATCATCAAAAATTTTGTACCATTTAATTGTTATAAACTTTGAGAAGTAGCTTTGTTTCTCAAAACATAGTTTTCTTGAGCCACTACACCCAAACATCACGGCATTGGCACGAAAACTAAAATTTTCTATGACTAGGAAGCGTTTATTCAACGGATTAGACTAACGGTGTTAACTGAATGCTATTGTGTTGAAAATGAAAAACAAATAAGCTACATGATCTAGAGTTAAAATTCGAGCGAATACAGGGATGTTAATGCAATTTCCCTGTATTTAATTTTAACAGAGAAGTACCTCTGCGGCTGTTTTTCCCTCCATTTCTTGCATCCCCACCTCCAAACCCAGAACTTTCAACAAATTTCAATGGCGAAGAAGTCCTGAGAAGTGAGAAACCACTCAAACCAACCATTTCCCTTCACTTTCTCACCTCCCAAACACAATGTCCAGCCTTCCCCACACCACCCTAGCCCTCCCTCCCCACCCGAACCCGTACCCTAACACACCCGCAACCCTCTCCACCGCCGTATCCTCCGCCAGAAGCCTCACCCACCTCAGACAAGTCCACGCTCAAATCCTAAAATCCAACCTCGACCGCCCCGACTCCCTCCTTTTCAATCTCCTCCTCTCCTCCTGCACCCTCTCGCCGAGCCTCCACTACCCTCTTTCCATCTTCAACCAAATCCCCAAACCCCAAATCCATTTGTGCAACAAGCTCTTGCGCGAGTTCTCACGACGCGCTGAGCCCGATAAGGCCCTTTTGGTGTATGAGAGGATGAGGAGGGAGGATGTGGGGGTGGACAGGTTCAGCATTCCGCCGCTGCTGAAGGCGGTGGCCAGAGCTTCGGCTTTGAGTGAAGGGATGGAGATTCACGGTGTAGCTTGGAAGTTGGGTTTTCATTCGGACCCGTTTGTGGAGACCGGGTTGGTCAGAATGTATGCCGCTTGTGGGAGGATCATGGATGCACGGTTGGTGTTTGATAATGTCTCGCAGAGATGTGGTTGCGTGGAGTATTATGATTAACGGGTATGATTTGGTCTGATGTTTTCAAGTTAAATAATGTGATTATCTTATTAATGGTTTTGAGAATCCCAAGAATTATGGCTTTAATTTACTCGGGAAAACAATTTTTTTGAAGGATTTTCAGCTGTATATTATTACAACAATTTGTTAAAATTGTAACCCGGGAAATTTCGCAAACAGGTACTGTCAGAGTGGCCATTTCGACACCGCATTCCGCCTGTTTGAAGAGATGAAGAACTCTAATGCGGAGCCAGATCCAGATGAGATGATACTTTCTGCCATTCTTTCAGCTTGTGGTCATGCTGGAAAGTTGGCTTATGGGAAAGCAATCCATGACTTCATTATGGAGAATGATATTGTGGTTGACTCTCATTTACGGAGCGCACTTATCGCCATGTATGCAGGTAGTGGCTCTATGGACTTGGCTCAGCAGTTGTTTGACAAGACATCACAAAAAAATTTCGTAGTTGCAACCGCAATGGTTTCTGGGTATTCAAAACTGGGACGGGTTGAAGATGCGTTTGATTTTTGACCAAATTGTTGAGAAGGACCTGGTCTGCTGGAGCGCCATGATATCTGGTTATGCAGAAAGTGATCGACCTCAAGAGGCTCTTAGATTGTTTGCTGAAATGGAAGCTTCGGGGTTAAGACCTGATCCAGTGACCATGTTGAGTGTCGTTTCAGCTTGCGGTCATCTTGGTGCACTGGATCAAGCTAAGTGGGTTCATTTATATGTTGACAAGAATGGATTTGGCAGAGTTTTGTCTGTCAACAATGCGCTGATTGATATGTATGCCAAATGCGGGAACCTGGAAAAAGCAACAGAGGTGTTTGACAACATGAGAAGAAGAAATGTGATATCTTGGACCACTATGATTAGCGCCTTTGCGATACATGGGGAGGCTAGTAATGCACTAAACTTCTTCAATCAAATGAAAGATGAAAACTTTGAGCCGAATGGGGTTACATTTGTGGGTGTGCTTTATGCTTGTAGCCATGCGGGGTTAGTTGAGGAGGGTAGAAGAGTCTTTGAATCGATGATCGATGAATACAACATCACTCCGAAACATGAGCACTATGGATGCATGGTTGACCTCTTTGGTCGTGCCGGTCTTTTGAGAGAAGCTCTTGAGGTTATAGAGGCAATGCCCTTTGCACCGAATGTTGTCATTTGGAGTTCTTTGATGGCTGCTTGTCAGATTCATGGTGAGACTGAATTAGGAGAATATGCTGCAAGACAGCTTCTTGAGCTGGAACCAGACCATGATGGAGCCCTTGTGGCATTATCAAACATTTACGCAAAACAAGGAAGATGGGAAGATGTTGGCATTGTGAGGAAAACAATGAAAAGCAGTGGTATATCTAAGGAGAGGGGGTATAGCAGGATAGAACTAAACAACAAGGTACACGAGTTTTTAATGGCGGATAGAAGTCATAAACAAGCAGATCAGATCTATGAAAAATTAGACGAGGTAGTTAGTGAGGTGAAGTTGGTTGGTTATACTCCCAACACGAGTTGCGTTTTGTTTGATTTAGAAGAGGAAGAAAAGAAGGAAGCGATTCTCTTGCACAGTGAGAAGTTGGCTCTTTCTTACGGTTTGATAAGTAAGAAGCAAGGTTCAAGCATTCACATAGTTAAGAATCTCCGGATTTGCGAAGACTGCCATACTTTCATGAAGTTGGCTTCAAAGGTGTATGAGAGAGAGATTATTGTCAGAGATAGGACTAGGTTTCATCACTACAAATATGGTTTATGCTCTTGTAAAGACTATTGGTAACTGTATTCTGTCTGAGATTAAATATCATTGTACAACTATTTATTAAAATGTGAATACGAAATTATTCGCTTAAACAAATCAATATAGGTATTAAGAAAATGAATAATATGATTACTTTTCGTTGATTAACGTGTGTGTGGCCTCTAATATTTACAGACACTTCCCGGGAATTGTATTTTCTGGAAATTGCAGGTCGAACGGAGAAAAACTCAAATGCAGTATTTCAAGAGGAAGGACGTAGTAAGGTAAAAACTCTTCAGCTGCAATGTCATTTGGAGCCATGTTGAAAAAGAGATTTTGTTTGCCGAAACACGAAAGAAGCTTTTCATTTAGAACAGTTTGAGATGCTATCTATCTGGATTCCTATAGCCAAACAGAACCTAGTTTGTTGCTAGTTAATCAAAATCAGGAAAACAACAATTTCCCAATTAGTACATATACAGCTCGAGATCAGATTAACGATTAAGCTCAACAGGTTACACAGTACCACCTAATGAAGGGAACATTTTTTCGAAGCTTCTCACAAGACATGAGATCCGGATATCTGCTGAGAGAAGACAGTGCACCTCTGATGATGTCCCCTGAGTCTCCTTAGGTTGGGATTTTGATGTTGTAGTATGCAGAACTTTCATGGTACTGGTTGTTGCCAAAAGTAGATAAGATCCAAAACTTCTGCTGCATCTTTCCAAGCTTCCTGGAGATCATATTCTTAAAGAAGGCTATTGCTGCTGAAACCAATCTTTGGTTATCAAATGTCGTGCTCCACCGATACTCAAGAATCCATGTATTCGGATCTAGCTTCACAGCTGAGGCACCCCAAGTTCTCTGCACCCACGAAGTGTTTGGCTCCCGAATCACATAGCCGCCAACCTTTCCATCCGACCACTTCTCATCAACAACCAAAAAAGGGTCAGGAAGTAGCATATGTTTGTACATCATGACAATATGATGCTAATAGAAATTTCATCTACCTCAAAAGTTTTTAGCTTTACCTCCGTGACTTTGCCGGATAAGATTGTGAAAGACCGGGAAGAAAACCCACTCGTGAGCAACCCAGCTGTCTGCAAAGGCCATCCCCATATTCTCACCTCCTCGATGGCAGATTTGTACAACGTGCAATGTGAGCTCAGAAGCAAACCATCCTAACATTTCATCATATAACCAGTCTGTGAGTTTTAAAACAGAAATTTCAAGTTCGTTACCAAATAATGCTGATTGAACTTTCAAAGGAAATGTTTGATAACTAGTACCTGACTAATATCCCAAATAGAATTAGGATAGCTGCAATTCGAAACCCTGCCCGGAACAAGACCCTGCATCTCTTTCTGCAAGAACCTCAGCCTGCCATTCAAATCATCCATAACCCAAGATTTTTCACCAACATTTCTCACAATCTCCGGCGAGAGAATAGGTTTTAAAGCCCCCGAAACCATATTAGAAAACCCGCACCTTGCCACATACACCAAGCTTAAACCCAAAATCAATCTCCAAATTTCACACCCAAAACCCCTTTTTCTCTCCCTCTTCTTAATCTTCTCCTTCGATTTCAATCTTGCAGCCGGTTAAGATCCGGAGACATAGGAATCGGAGGAGAGCCCGAAGTGGGTGTAGACAAAATCGAAGCATCGAAAGAGATGGGAGTGCGTTTGACACTTGGCTTGTTCTTGGGCCTTGAAGATGAGAACTTGGTGAGCGAGGTTTTTTGGATGCTGAAAGGCATGAGATCGAGAGTGGCATTGATGCTGGCCAAGCACATTTCGCAGTTGCAGTTGGCATCTTTTCGGCATCCTGGGTAGTAGCAGCTGTCGCGGTTTTCAGATCTGTCGTCATCCATGGCGGTGGTGGTGCTCGATTTCACTGAGGATGATGTCGTTGTCATCGACGGCGACGATGAGAGGGCGGATTTCATGGCTGCTTGAGCGTTTCGGGGTTTAGGAGACAGGCTTTGTTTCGTTGACATGGTCTTTGAAGCGTTCACAACTATGCTGTGTGGGGAGAGATATGGTTTTTAAAATTCGAATCCCCAACGGTCATATATGGCATGATTTGCTGCTGTCTCCAAATTTGGTGTCTCCTACATGTCTCTCCTCTCATTTGTTGACATGTGTACAACCCCCTTACTTCAACTCAACTCTATTAACTTTTATTAAATTAACAAATAAATACTACCAAAAAAAGAATAAACAAAGAAATTCGCAGATGCTAAGTCACACAACTAGACAACTTCGTCAACCGCCACAAGTGGTAACATGAGCATTTTTGCTCACTATTATAACTATGGTGTATGCTCATCATACACTTAAATATTTGTCATGTGTCTGTTCAGCTAACTCTAGTTAACTTTCACATGTTACTTTTTCAATTTTGTAAGAAATTAATCAAAGTTAAGTAAAAAAACATATGACAGATGATTAAGTATATAATGAATATACATTAAAGTTTATGATGGTGAGCAAATATGCTTCTCGCCGTAACTCCTCTCCAACTGGTTGCCACCATTCCTGAACTCCTTCCCCTCTCTTTCTCTCCTGGCTCAAGATTCTCATAGCAAACTTCCATATTTAACAATTGATTGCTTTATTGTTTTATTGCACAGTTGCTTATTTTCACAACACAATAGAAGTTTATTTTTTATTTTTTTATTCAAAACACATCAATACCAAACTAACCCTAAGAAATGAGATTATTTGTTAACTAGCTTAACAAAATTAGGACGCAGAGGAAATATTATATTCATGCATCATCATTGATTCCGTTGTGTTAAAATGCATTGTAGTTATTGTCCTATTGAGCTAGTAGCTCACCCCTTATAAATTATTAACAAGTGAGACTTGAAAAGTAGTCGACTTTCACTGAAAGTCTTAAGGAAATTTTATTATGAAAATTCGAGTGTTCTCTTATGTTTTTGTGAAACCTTATGATGTAAATTAAGGTTTGTTTAAATAAGGAACAAGAGTTCCATACTAGAGTTGGTTGCCTTTTGTATTCTGGAAAGACAAAGGATGAATTGTAAAGTAAAGACAAACTCAAGTTTAGTTTGTTTGTTGTTAGTTTCTCTGGGGTCATTCTCTTATTATTTTATTTTTGTCGCGTCTGAATTATGAAAATTGCATATTCTATATTTGAGACGCGTTTCACACCTTAATTCAAGACTTAGCTATAGTTTTCCGAATTGAGGTGTGCCTTGCATTCATTATTTAAGATATCAAAGAGCCCCTGACTCATTCTATATTGGTGTGACAAGGTGTAACATGTTTGTTAAATGACCCCTGAGATTTGCATAACACATCACTTTGGTCCCTGAGATTGAAAATCAATAGAAATAGTCCCTGAGATTATTCACCATCCATTATTTTGGTCATTCCGGTAAGTTGTTCCATAGTTCATACTGGAAACTGAGATTTTTTGCCGAAAGTTTGGGCAATTTTCAAAGTTTCATAACTCAATTGTTTCTTAACCAAATTCGACTCATAATATATCAAAATGAAGATAGTAAAGTGTTGAATAAGATTACACCTATTTGGAAGCCCAATGGTTGCTAGAGATGCCAGAAAATAACCTAAAAGGTGACTGGTCCACGGGAAAACTGGAAAACTTGCCGAAAACTAGGTAAACTTTAAACGTTCATAACTTCTTCAATACTCAACGAAATCAAGTGATTCAAAAATGAAAATCGTACTTCTCGACAAGATGAAGAGAATGGTTTCTCTTTTTTTTTTGGCTAATTCACCTTGGTTTGGCCGGAAAATAGCCTGAAAGGTGACTGGTCATTGGGAAAACTGGAAAACTCTCCGGAAACTAGATAAACTTTAAACATTCATAACTTCTTCAATACTCAACAAAATTGAGTGATTCAAAAATGAAAATCATAATTCTCGATGAGACAAAGAGAATGATATGTTTCGTGATGGCTAATTTCTCATGGTTTGGCCGGAAAATAGCCCAAAAAGTGACTGGTCTACGAAAAAACTGGAAAACTCGTCAGAAACTGGGTAAACTTTGAACGTTCATATGCAAGCAGCTGATAGCAAGCACAGATAGTAAAAAACTATAGGCCAACAAGCACAGGCGGCAACACACCAACACAAATCCCTGCATATTTCATGTAATTGACACTCCTTAAATATATATAATTTTATATATATTTCATGTACTAAATCCTAAATATATAATAATAATATATATCGAATACCAATACGATGCCAAAAAACTTTGGTTCGGTACATTATCGTGCCATTACCAATTGGTACAAAATCGGTATGGTACAGTTGGCAATTCAGTGTGCACGGTAATTTGGCAAAAAATCCACCTCTATATATGTTACATATATATGTGCATGGCATCATCGTTCATATAATATTCACGGTCTTAATCAATTTACTGTCCCACACAATTCTTCTTCGTACAAAACTTGAGGAATATGTATAAGAGATGAGTTAAACATAATGTTATAGAAGAAAAATTATGTTCTATCTAAAAATAGATGATCTACAACGGTTAATTGGATTGATGCTCGTGAATAACTTATCCTAGCATGTTTTTGAGATGGCTTCTTGCATTTTTAATCAAGGAAGGACTCAAGTGGTATTCATACGTGCCAAGTGTCGCTTTAGCAACATTATGGTACTCTTGATGATAAAGATTGTTGAAATTTTCTTCCCCAATCGCTGAATATTATAGTGGGGAAAGTCATGCAGTAGGTAATACATGTTGAGTCTTATTTATTAGTCCTTTCAAGTGGAGTTGGAAGTTGACACATATTTATTGCAATTAAGTTATATACAATGGGAATACCAGATATGATGTTCCTTAGTGTTTGATTTAATAAATCAATGCCAACCCAGGAAAAAAAATAATCCCAATCATTCTGCATTCTTCCAAATACTTCATGCCCTTTCTCTCTTTATTCTTTTCGGGTGCTATACACTTGAAGCATATTAGCAATTTGACTGGCCAAGTAAAACAAGCTTTCTAAAAAATAGTGAATGAAAATTTACTGCAGGATTTATTGAAGCAACTTTTTTCTCGTCAAAATAATATCACTAGACTTGTTCTGTAACAAAAGCAAAATGAGGATGGATTCAATCTTGTAAAGCATTTTGTACAAGTGATATCTTAAACTATTATGTTTATAGAGAGGGTGATTTGAACTCGAGTGGAAGGAGGTGCACACAGTATCTCAGCTAACGAGCCTAATCAACATTTACAGCTTTTCAGAAATTATTTTATTAAAAGAAAAAAGAATGAAGATAGTTTTAATTACGTTCCTCGTGAATTTTAAAAAAATTAAAGTTAAAACGTAAAGATTTTTACTGACAATTTGTCTTTCCAACCAAGGAAAGAAGAGTAAAACATATCCCATATCAAATGGAACATAATATATCAAAATTCCACTACCTTCATATTATATTAATTATTCCAACCCAGCAAGAAGTATGGTTGCAATTAGCTCATGAGAAAGATGATGAATCGCCCACTTGGGATGTGCTTGCTGATCTTGTGTACTTTTTTGGCGATGAAGAAGAAGATGACATGTCTGACCTTCTCCTAAGCATCTGCCTCATCCCATCTGCCACTCTCACTGCAGGGTTGGATTTAAATTTACCACAAAATGACATGTGTGCCCTCACAGCTTCCTCCATGCCAAATGGCTGCTTGCTGCCCTTGCCAACCTCATCTCTCACTGCTTCTGAGCACAACCCACACAGCCATTTCCCATCAAACTTTGCCTTCACTTGTGTGATGTAGTCTTGCGTGCAATCCTCTTTTAGTCCACAACACTCACACCTCACCATCTCAATCTCCATTCTTTTTCTTTTTTCCTTTGTTTTCTGCTTAGCTGAGTAGCAAAGCTCTGATGAATTGTGAAGGGATTCAAGAGAAAAGTGAGATGTTTTTATTTGTTGGATTGGATTGCAATGATGGGGTAGAAAGTGGGATTTCTTTTCATTTGTTCTCTCTTGAGATGTGTTGCTGGTGTTGCTCACTTGGTTGCTTAAGAAACTGTGAAGTGTTTGATTTACAAGAGCTTTTATGGTTGGGATTTTCGTTTTCTATTGGTTATTAGGAATTCAGGAGATGAGAGAGACGGAGAGAGGAAAGAGAGGGGAAAGAGGGGGGCCGGTGGGGGGCGGGGGAGAGAGCTCTTATAAGACCAGGGTAGGGAAAACTGCCATAATTTCCTCCATGTTCAAAGGAACATGGGGCAGTGGGAAATAAGACAAGAGTGGTCGGAGGGGTCCTCAAACCTGGCCCTTTCTATCATATCCAAATACTTATTCTTATCCCCCCCAGAAATAAACAATGTTAATTTGTGGGTTTTGGGGTTGTGTATAAAAATATATTTGTAGCTTTTTGGTAGTTTGACAGTTACTTTCGGTTGAAATGGGTTGAAATATTTGCCTTGTATTGGATGTGGCTTCACTTAGCTCCCTAAACTTGTGGCTGACGAGTCAGGCTTGGAATTATTACTTTTGGTAGTTTGTTTGGTTATCTTGGTTCCATGAACGTGTTGACTGCTGACCATCTGACTTTCATGTGTGAATTTAGAGCTTACTATAGTAATAAGGCCAACATCACCATGCTTTGTTGACCAAGAGGCCATGGGTTGTTCAACGGCCAATGATTTGATGAAGATGTGCATTATTGGGGTTTATGATTGTGCGTCTGCTCACTGTGCATGTGTACATCCTTCCTCCTCTCAACTGGTGAGGAGACATTTTTAGAAAAGACTATCGCATACATAAGTTCTTTCACGATGACTCTCTCCTTTACAATAATATAAGACAACTTTTTTATTGGAAGAATTTTACCATCAAGAGTTATGTGAAGAGCCTCTCACCAACAATTTTGAGCCAAAAGGTTAGAAATTTCTTCTCTTTGTACTAGAGGAGATTCACAAGTTTTAATCAATTTGTTATAAACAAATGATCCACCTACTTGGAGGGCTGCTTACACCAATATTTAACATTTGCATATTGCTAAGAAATTTATTGTTCAACAGTTACAACATGTGTTTCGTGAAGCTAACATAGCAGTAGGTGAGATGTTGCGAATTTAGGTTATTAACTACATTCAAAATTCATGTATTTGGTTTTGTAATATCCTATGTACTGTGGGCACCAATAAGTACCTGACATGTGATAGGTCGTATCATACTTCATGAAAAGGGTACATGTCACACAGAAAATTTTACTCAAAAAATTTAAAGTACTATGTCATATGATTTAAAATCTTCAATATAAGGTTCTAATGGATCTTGCAACAGTTGGAATTTGCATAAAATTCGTATCACTAAGTAAGACGTAGTATTGTAGCCGGACCTCTCTTTCTAACCCGTTCCTAATGATTTCCAGTATTCTTGACAAAAATTTACCCTTCATCCTTTGGCCGTCAGAATTGAATGCGATCATGACATGAAACTTGATCATTCTTGATCAGTATTCAGCCATTATTGCAATAATTAAAACAACCTTTTCCTCCTTTTTTTTGTTTCTTCAAGAGAGAAGGTAATGATCATTTGCTCTAGCCAAAATTTACAAGTACGTACGCTGTTGTGTTTCCTCCAACAAATCCCACCTAAAGAAATTTATTTATTTATTTAGTTATTTATTTTTTTTGTAAAATGTATAACATTTGTGATGCATTGTTGACATGCTCATTGGCCAATCTGCACTGCAAATCTTTGTCAACAATTTGTTTTTATTTTTCTGGGGTTGGTGATGCAATGCAACTGTGTCATGGCATCATTGAGAAGGAAGCAATGTCTATGATCAAGATTTGTTAACGTCGTATTCTGGTGGTTCTGAAGATGCGTTCTTGGCATGCTCCAAAGCTGCCATCACTTCTGTTGTAGTAGATGATTTTTGTCACGTCGTGTAATGTGGACTTGATTTGGCTTTAGGGTTCACTAACGTAGCCACGTACGTAGCGGTTAATAATTGGTCGATTTTATAGTAGCATGAATTATTAATTTGCAGAGTTTAATTACAAAAGGAAAGTGATGTTAACATTTTAACTGGAGAGTATATAGTAACATGAAAACAAATCTGTAGATGCGTATTGCATACCTCATATGTTCAAACGTTTATTTATTTATTGGATAAAAGTTTTTCAGTATCGAAAGTCGCATAATTTGTAATTTGTAATTGTCATCGCTTTGAGACTGAAAATTTATCAAAGCGAAGATTTTATAAATTAAATCTGAGCTTGAACATTATGAGTTGGATACGATCAAATTTGTTGCAACTTAAAAATTAGAGAAATACGATGGCCTCCATTTATGAAAGTCAAGATACAATTTAAACCTACGTCACCAATAGAATAAAACTACGAAATAATAATGCAATAACAAATTAAAGGTTAAGTGCATTTTGCACTCTTTTTGGTATAGAGTTCATGAATTTTTGGTCATTTTCTCGAAAGAAAAAGGCAACCACAAAGTTACAATCGTTAATATAATAGGGTAACTGTTTGTCAAACTGTGGAGGCAAATACTCTTGTTTTTTTGTGTGGCTCTCGGTGGGTACGTAATTTACTATATGAGCGTCATATCAATGTAATGTGGAACCACAAAATCAAATAATAAATTTTTCGACCTTTTTAATGTCAAATTCTTTAAGGGTATAAAAATGAGCACTACAAGCTTCCATGCCAAATTTTTTTTTTCATCATGTAATCTGCAACTTTAAGATCGTTTTTATTAATTTCATAAACTATAACCATCAAAAGTTATGAATCCCAAACTATACAAAGGTGAGAAAAGTGAGTGACCTTAGAGGGAAATACTCAGCCAACTTAGGTGCTAGTTTCATTTGCCCTCATTCTACGCACATGAGATATTTTCTTATGTCACAATCTCACCACATGACAATCATTCAATTGATAATCAGTGTATTTTTAAATATATGGCAAACGTTTTGTAATTATATAGTAACATCAATAAAACTAAAACTCGGTTCTATGACATAATTAACATCCAAAACAGCTCATCCTTGCAAGTTTGCAAATTCTGGCAGCCATCTTTATCCATACTATTTACAAAGACCGTTACTTTCATCATTCCGTCCAATGAAATTAAGAAAAACTTTTCAAAAGGGTTTTCTTTTGTTATTCCCGCACACCAAATTTTGCATTTGTGCATAAATGATCAAATCAGATCCTTACTGACCATCTTTTTATTATCATATTTTGATTAATTTGAGTGGTTGTAAGGTAATGATATATAATTAAGTACTGAAACATGACCCTATTTATATGAAAATGCAAAGCAGATCAGTAATAATTTCTAATCTTAATCGCATATGATCATCTTATCCTCTAATAAGTTACCATGTAAAGATATATTATCAAGTGATATGGACCACATACAACTAATCAATTGGATTTAGATCGTAATAATAGTCCACAAGAAAAAAACCATATCAATAATTGGAATCATTGAATAAAAACACCTACTTACGTGCAAGTGTCTGCCCAGAAATCTTACGACTTAATCATGGACTAGTGCATCTTAAGCAATGTTAGCAATAAGCACACTGAACCGCCACGCAACTGAAGATTTGACTGGTGAGCCAGATAGGTTTTTTTCATATATCCAAGCTAAGCCTAAAAGCCTCAACCGTTTCCAAAAAAAAAAAAAAAAAAAAAAAAAAAGAATATGCAGATGTTTTAATTATAAAGGAAAACGTCACAATTAATAACTTTTAATTTTGATTTGTACATTTCTACAGTATAATGATTGCAACCTCGGTGACATGTACGTATGTACGTATACGTCTTGTCCTTCAACTGATAGATACATAGTACATAACCTGCATCTGGACTTTTATAATACATTTTTCACTAAAAGTATCGTAAAAGTATCTATTCTTCATATGGGACGTACCATGTTGTCACGACGTGATTTAAATATGTAGATTTGCGTCAATTTCATCCATCAATCATTATTGACTTACAACTTATATTTAACTCTGTATGAGGGAAAACTTACGTATGTACCTAAGAGAATTAGAACAATATGATCTTGATGAGTGTTGTAAATAAAGTTATCCCATGACACAGTGGTATCTAACTTTATGGCAAGAGAAGTCTTTATCTACGCTTAGTGTTGATTTCATCCAATTAATCTATTTCTTTCATCGGATGAAATCCATCTGCATAAGTGTTCACATGCTATCTCGCTGAATTAATCCAGATATTTCAATTTCTTTCCAAATACATGAATTTCACATCTCGTCCTTGACAATGCATCTTCACAATACATCCACGAGAGGCTTGAGAGAGCCCACATTGCTCACAATAGTTTTGGAACGTTCTATTCTTGAAACAAGAGAAAATTAGAGCAATGGTTCTTGAATTTTGGCTCAATTAGAGTTTTGTTTCTAAAATCATGAGTCTTGCTCTCTGAGCTTGTCACAACAATGATAATACGTTAGAAATTTCATCCAAAATAAAGAGTTTAAAATGATAAAAGTAGATGAAAATTTTAAAGGAGTTAGCCAAATTAACCATTGCTCTACATTAAGTTCAATGACCATCACTCACGGGATTTTAGTTCAAGGACCAAAACAAAGCTCCAATTGAATTAAAATTCAATGGTTGTTGCTCCAATTATCTCTTGAGGAAGTATGATTTTTTCCCTAAGAAAAATACAAAACTTAGGGTTTGCAATATCTCTCAAACCTCTGAGAGAGAATTTTTCTCACATAGTAAAACACATTTAATCATTAAAAAGAGACTAGAATAAGATGACTGCATTCAATATAGAGCCAAGTATTCTTGGTCTATAACTATCACGGGGTAGCCCAGTAGTTGGGACCAAATTTTAGGCTCATATCCTATAGGGCCGACGTGCCTATTTCCTGCTGATAAATCACACGATGGAAACCAGAGAAAGGCTAAAACGTCTTTGTGAGTCTTTCCCAGCCTTCGAAAATGTGGATTGTTATGGCGAAGCCACCAGCTAGTCCCCTTTTTTGTTTAAAAAAAAAAAATGTATTCTATGTCTATATTATAGGTCCCATGGTCCTACGAAACCGAAGGTGGATGGACAAGCCATGGCCAAGCATGTGGGGTTGCCCAAATGAAGAGCCTCAGTTTGCCATAAAACCGTGGCCAGAGAAAGACTAGTCCTAGTCATGGAAACCCGACGTTTGAGTACTTGTCCGGTAGATGTCCGGCAATTCTAATGGCCACCATAGTTTTCCAACCGCAACTGATTTGTTTGTGGGGTTGATCACAAGATATGACCCAATTCCAATCACTAT